TTTTTTTTTTTTTGAGAAGAATAATGATTAAAGGTGTTAATGTATAAGAAGTGTTAATATGTAAAAAAAATATTGAACACGAGATATGAGACTTAAATCACGATCTGCCTCAAAAGACAATAAGTGGTCCTTGGATCACACTTGTGGAATGCATTTAATGAACATGATTAACCGTGTGATTACACAATAATCGTACCATTGGGACATAAAAGCACATGTTAAATTAAAAACACCAGTAAAATAAATCAAGAAAGGTTTAATACCCAATTTGATCCTTAAACTTTCATTTGAGAACTTTGTTCGTCCTTTAACAAATGAAAGCACTCAAGTTGTCCTTTAACTTTATTTATTTGGAACCCAAATGGTCCTTCCGTCACGGAAGTGCCCAGCTGGCACATTAAGTTGCCACGAATTAATTCTTTTATTTTAGAAAAACTACGTGGAAAAAAAATGATGCTTTGGTAATCTTAATATTGACCTTTCCCTTATCTTCAACCCTCATCCCTCTCTGCCATTTTTGTTTCTTTTCTTGTTCTCCAGCACCGACATCAACACCAATACCAGCGGCATCATTCTTTCCCTTTCTCATTTTTCTCTCTACTCTCCACCCTCCTCCTTCCTCCTTCCTCATTTCCCTTTTCTTGAGATTCGGCAGTATTGTCTTTTCCGATCAAACTTGGGTGGAAGCAACCATAACCCAGGAGCAGTGGACTTGTGGCGATGATAAAGCAATTTGATAAAAGATTGCCAAGGGGTACACACTAAACCACATGACGAGATCATCCAAATCCAAGTTTTGGTCAAAATTTTGGTAAAGGAGTTTTGGGGGAAGATCTGATAAATAGATGTTGCAGACATTGAAATAGAGGAAGGAAGAAGCCGCTGTGAACCCCCTTTTTTTTTCATTCAAATAGGTCTCTTGAACCCTATTTGTGATTCTTTTTAAAAATAAAAAACAAAAAATTGAACCAATAATTTCTGAGAAAGTTTATCTTTGGCTGTTTCTTAGAGATATTTAGGAGTTGTGATGACAGACACTAAATTGCTGCCATGGCCAAAGCCCATAAAAAGCAAGGCACCAAAACTCTTGACTGTGAAAAGCATGGTGGAAGTGAAGACTTCAACCTACCCTTTGAGCAAAATAGAGGATCGAACTATCATGTGAAGAACCAGTGGAAACACTACCAACTTCGTAGTGAGATGCCTGGGGGGATGAAGAAAAGCTTCGCCCAAAGATGAGTTGGCAAGACCAAGCTAAAACACCAGGTGCTAGCACCCAGCAACATAAAAAAGCTAAAATCAAAGAAACATGCCCTAAAATTCAGGACCCAGTAATTGTGTTCTCAGGGATTTTGGCCAAGAAGAAACCAACGCCCATTGGTTGGGCAAAATGTATTAACAGATTTTTGTTAAATAGAAATCTGCAAAAAAAGAAAAAAAAAAAAGAGAGGATAGAATGGCCATATTCCCTGGAAAAAGGGACTGAGCACTGGATGATAGAAGACCCATAGCAGATGGACCCAAAAACTAAACATAATGCCATCACTCACAAAACTAGTCTAAGGCATCACGAGACTCATACCTCATGCGTTGTTATTTGGAGGGTCTACCCTTCCTGTTCAAAAACTGCTTAGAAAAGGATATCACACCTCCATAACTGCTCCATGAGCAGATCAACTGCACTGCTACTAACTCCATTGCAACGTTGCAGATTTAATCCCAAGAGGCTCTAGGGTTCGGAGAAGAAATTGTAGAGGATTTAAGGGTCAAAGAAGGAATCTAGGGTTTGGAGAAGAAATTGCAGAGAGAAGGAATGGCTGATGTTGGTGCTGGAGAACAGGACAAGGAACAAAAATGGCAGAGAGGGATGGGGGTTGAAGATAAGGGAAATGTCAATATTAAGATTAACAAAGCATCATTTTTTTTCCACGTAGTTTTTCTGAAATAAAAGGATTAATTCGTGGTAAATTAACGTGCCAATTGGGCACTTCCATGACGGAAGGACCATTTGGGTTCCAAATAAATAAAGTTAAAGGATAACTTGAGTGCTTTCATTTGTTAAAGGACGAACAAAGTTGTCAAATGAAAGTTTAAGGACCAAATTGGGTATTAAACCATCAGGAAACAACATTGAAACACAACAATAAACGGGAAAAAAACAGGACGCGCAATCATTAAAGCAAATTGGATAAGTTTGATGACCTCAACAACAAAAACCATCCGTCGGATCCTCCATTGACCATGCAATTCAAATGATCCAAAGGTGGACAATTTTCAAGGAGCACATGCACTTTCTCAGAAAGGGAGAGCTGAATGCTTC